ACACACACACCACCACACACACACACACACACACACACACACACACACACACACACACACACACACACACACACACACACACACACACACACACACACACACACACACACAGGCCAACGCGGACTATGTTGGGGAACGACTTGCCGCCAAATTCAAACGTGCACGGGCGGTTGCCGGGCTGTGATGGCCACGCACACTCCACACACTCTTGGTGGCGTTTGTGCTGTGCGTCGTGCATCGCCGCTCGAGTGAAAGAGAGAGGGGGGGGGGGCAATGGCGTTTTGCCTTGTTGACTTGTTAAATTGAGTGTAACGTTACTTCCTCGCAAAATGAACAAGTTGGATTGAGTAACTGATGTGAACGATGCCAATCGTGCCTTCCTTGCCAGGGACAACGAGCCAATGCCCGTGCAACACACACACACACACACACACACACACATACACACACACACATCCGGCTAGAGGCGAGAGAGTTGCGTGACACGGGAGCCGTCAAAGTGCAGGTGTGTTGTTGGCAGCGGCCACAGCGCGGGCTGCGCTTGGTTGGGATTCGTGTCCTCCAAGCAGCCCTGTTGGTAATGGCGAAACCAAGGGTGGCCGTGGTGTGGTGATGAAGGGAGGAGGTGGTGGTGCGTAAGCAGCGGTGATGAGGAGGTGTGAGTGGAGTCGAAAGAGCAGGTGTTGGTGTTGAAGTCACAGGTGACCACGCACTACACAGGACAAGCATCACATACATTGAGTGCCACAGCCACACCCACCTTGTGGTCAGCAATGAAGTGGAGGAGAGCATCTGTCATCTGCTGTTGGGATTCCCGGATGGCGCTCAAATTGGCCGCTGATGTGTGTGCAGCACACGCGAGGGGGCGGTTGTTGGTCATTGTGAGGTTATTCGCGGCAGCGTCAGGAGCATGTGTGTGTCTGCACGCACCATGGGAACAAGCACATCACACATCATACACACACGCGCGCACGCGCGCGCACACACTTTTGAACAAAACCACCAACCAACCAACCCAACCAACCAACCAACCAACCAACCAACCAACCAACCAAACAAACAACCAACCAACCAACCAGCCAACCAACCAACCAACCAAACAAACAACCAACCAAACACACGAACAACCAACCAACCAACCAAGCAAACACAGAAACTTACGCGAGAGGAGGGCGTGCGATTCCATGGCGAGACAGAGCGCAGCGTTGAGCTGCTCATCAAACAACGGAACACCAAAGTTGACGCCGAGGAAATGATACGTGGTGTACCCGCCATGACGCAATCCAGCACTGTCACCTCCACGTCTGCCACTTCTGCCGCCACCAACAGCAGCGGAAGCGTTGCTGCTGCTCTTCCGCGGAACAGATACGCGTGCCAGCACGTCTCCAAGCGAATCGCCGCCATCACCACCACCTACATGACCGTGTTCTACTTGCTGCTGTGTGGCGCCGCTGGTGTTGTCGGCACTGTCATCGAGGGTAATGAGATCACTGCTTCGTTTCGCCACAACCGCTTCCCGCTGATCACTTGTGCCGCTGCTGCTGCTGTCCTGGTCATCTCCATCACTGCCAGAGTCACCATGTTGGATTCTCCCAGCAAAGCAAGTGGCACTGGCTGATACAGCATCAACGCTATCACCACGCCCACGTGGTTCTTCATTGTTGCTCCCACCCTGCACCTCATCGCCACCGTGCCCAGCAACACCGGCGCCACCGCTGTCAAGACCGCTGCCTGTGACCTTCACGAGGGTGATGTATCCAACGCGGCTGCGAAGATGAAGACGATCGCGCACGTGCCTCATCTCGCGCGAATCCAACACTGCTTGCATCACGTCTGCGTACGACGATGGCGCTGCTGTGTTGGCTGCTGTTGTTGAGACTGCTGGCGTGTTTGATGTTGCTGCGAGTGGCATTGCCTCTGTTGCTGGCGCCATGTCTGTCTTCTCCGCATCCACATCACCATCACCATCACCATCACCATCACCATCACCATCACCACCAGCACCAGCACCATGGGCACCACGGCCCCAGGGGCGGGTGAGCGCACGTGCATACGTTGCTCGTGCCCGTCTCCCCAGCAGCTGTGCGCCTTCCTCCGTGATGGACACGGCCTCTCCACGACGCATCGCTGTTCGGCCAACCAGCAGCGGCGAAAACCCGTCAGGCAGGTTTGACAGATCCACGCCAGCGGCGGTATCAGCAGGGACAGCAGAACTGGCTTGGGCAGTGTCTTCACCAGACCCGCTGCCATTGGTTGCTGTTGTTGCCGCTGCAGTTGTCGCATCGTGATCATCCGTACTGCTTGAACCGCCCAAGTCAATCAAGTTTTGCGCCATCTCAGGTTGCTGCTGCTGCTGCTGCTGCTGCTGCTGTTGCTGCTGCTGCTGCTGTCTTGAGCTGGGGGTGGATGCGTCGCCATCGGCGCTGCTGGCTGGTGCTGCGGGGGCGGCACTCGTGACCGGCACGGATGAAGCTGATGATGCGAGGGTGTCCATGTGTTCGCGTGTTGGCAGCGAAAACGGAACGTGCACGAGTTGGCACTCCTGTGCACGTGTGGCCAGACCTTGCACAAACACGGGGCCTTGTGCAAGGGCGTCTGCATGTAGTCCCGGAGAGGGGCAGGAACATGTGGGCGCGGGATGAGAGAGAGAGTGTGTGTGTGTGTGTGTGTGTGCTTGTGTGAGTGTGAGAGACAGAGTGTGTGTGTGTGTGTGACAGTGTGTGTGTGTTTGCGTAAATGAACATGAGTGAAGTGATTTGTACTGTGGTGGAGTGGGTGAGCGAGCGAATGAGTGTGGCGTAACGAACATCACTGTGATCTGCTGCCTTGACACAAAGCAACGGATTGACAATGATGCCCACAGTCACACATACACACGATGTGCAGGGCATGGTGCTGGTTCCCGCACCGTTGAGTGTGATGAGCAGGCTCGCCGTCGACGTGACGGTGGGCTCATGCTTCCACGTGGTGAGGAGAACTGTCGAGTATCTTGCCAAGGATTTCGGTAATTGGTTGAGCACGGTTCCCGCCATGATGAACAGTGACTCTGGACCCGTCAACACCTGTTTAAGCGTGGCGGCGTGGTGCGTTGGGCGAGCATTGAAGAGGTGGGAAAGGGGTGGACGATCGCAAAGCGTTCACAGTGAACCTGACAGTCAGCGACTACAGGTCACATGGCACGCGCATACTCTGTTGCTTCCAACCAACATACCACACCACACACGCACACGCACACACATATACACACATACGCACACACACACGCAAACGTGCACGCACGCTTGCGTAGAGAAAGAGCTTGAACCACGGCGATGTAAACTCGGAGCGAGGCGGACCAAGAATTGGCATTTGCAGCGCGCTGCAACGAGCAGCAGACGTGTCGATGTCAACGCAATGAAAAGTTGAATGCATTTCAGCACTCAACACGAACATGCGGCACATCGAGAGCACATATATTCAAATATCACCAGGACACAGGTCACGTGCACGCAAACGCACACACACACACACACACACACTCGCACGGCGCGCATGTACGCATACTCTCAACAGACACCGGCAGGCGAGCAACACCGGCGCCTCACCCCGTGATGGAGCGCACGTCCGGGCTGAGAGGCGTCATTGTCACCAGCGCCTTTGGAGAAGAGGGGGATGTGTGAATGTATGTGTGCGTTTGTGTGAGGATGCGTGAGAGTGTGTAAAGGTGTGTGTGTGAATACATGTGCTCACTTATCAACAAGCAGCACCAGCATTGGCAGCAGACGCAGTCATCGTACACAGCACGATGACCACCACATGAACAGTAACAAGATGGCTTTTCGCCTCACCATATAGTTGCGGGCGAGCACACGTCGCTGCGTTTGTTCGTTGAGCGCCGCCAGGCTCTCAAAGCGCACGAGATCAACACCAGCACCGCAACTCAGCGCCAGCTCCTCCTGTTCCTCCTCCCGCTGCTGTTCCTGTGGCTGGTTTTGCTGGTCGTCATCACCGTCGCTCGTGTCTTCGTCCGATCGGTTGGGCTGTGAGGATGCCAGTTGTCAGCGTGAAGCTCGCGTCAGTGTCAGACAGTGGTTAAAGTGGTTTCAGGGCACAAGTCAAAAATGCACACACACAGACCAAAACCACAAACAAAAACACAAACAAAAACATACACAGAACCGGTCACCTGAGCAAACAGGGCTGGGTTTCGCCTCAGGGCCTTGAGAGTTTCACGAAGGGCGATGGCGTGATCGGAATATTCGCGCGCGTCGCCATCCATCAGCGTTTCGGTCAACTCAAGCTCAGAGATGAGTTCAAGCACCGTCTCATCAGACAGCTTGCCCGCCTGACATGTTCATGTCCATGTGTGTGGTTGTGTATGTGAGTGTGTGGGTGTGTGGGTGTGCATGTGAGTGTGTGTATGTGTGTATGTGAGTGTGTGTGGGTGTGCATGTGAGTGTGTGTATGTGTGTATGTGAGTGTGTGTGTGGGTGTGTATGTGGGTGTGTGTATGTGTGTGCACGCGAGTCAGAGGATGCGGCTCAGAACGTGGGCTGAGGATGAAATCAAGCGCTAACCCTGAAAGGAAAGGGCCGCACACGACCGTGCACAAGTAGAAAACACACACACGAGCACGCAGGCGCAAGCATCCACACGCGCAACCACCTACACGCACACAACAAACCCACATGCACACGCACACGCACACGCACACGCGTAACGAGCGAGCAGAAGCGGCACCTCAAACAGGGTGACAGCGTGCTTCTTGAGACCGGGACTGAGGTTTCCCATCATGAGGAACGCCGCCAGCGTGGAGTCGAAGAGGAACGCAATGCGTGGTGTGCGCGTTGCTGCCTCGCTCTCCTCCAGCAGAGACCGCCCCTGCGCCCCATCTGCCGGCTGTTGGCGCTCCAGTGACGACGACGAGGCTATCGCAGCCATCGCCTCTCCTTTGTGCTGCCCAGGAACTGCAGCAGTTGTGGTGGTGGAGGAAGGGAAGGCGGGTGTGGGAGGAGAGCGACGAACGTGGTGCCATTGTCGTGAGAACAAATGGGGCACATTGCTTTGGTAAGCGCGCGTTGTGTATTGTTAGCGCTACTTGTCTGTGCATGTGTGCTTGTGTGTACGTTTATGTGCTTGTGTGGCTTGTGCCTGCTGCAAATACGTGTAAATGAACAACGTGGATGCAATGCGAGAGCAAACGAGATGATCTTCTCGACACGTCACACCAGTGGTGTCATTTCTCTCATCTCTTCGTCCACCAGCGTGCACATGCGCACCTTTGAGCCAGGACTTGTGCAGGCCATCCCGGGCGACGGGCGGAACTTTCTTCCGTGCGAATCCAAGACGACAGTACATCGACACAGCGTCCTTCACCTGCACACGCATGCGTGTGTATGTGTGTATGCGTGTGCATGTGCATGCGTGTGTGCGGGAGAAACAGGTTGCGCGCGTGAGCCATGATGCGTGCAGTACACTGCGTACGGGACGTGGGGCAAACAAGAACCAAGACATTGTTCACCCCCATGGAACAGCAGCAACATGTGGTACGAAGAAGTGTGTGAGTGATGATCACGTGCCTGCTGTAAGTCAATCTGAAGCACCTCTGCCATCTCCTTCACCGTCGTGTTCTGGTCAATAGACACAAAGATCTGCAGCGCACGCGAGTGATGGTGGTAGTGACGATGGTTGTGATGGTTGTGATGGTTGTGATGGTGGCCGAGAGCACGCCCGTCACAGGTCAGCTTGTGACGGCGCATGAAATGGCTGTAAATCAAGTGCACGCCCACACATCGACATGCCTGTACATTCTTCTTCGCCACCACAGTCGCAGACACAGCCATACACATACCCACACAACTCACCCCAGCACCCACGAGTCACACGTTTCGACTTCCTCTAAACACAAGTACATACACTTCTCCTCCCCCTCCCTCCCCCCCCCCCCAAACCACCACTATCACAACAGCAGACCTGGTAGAGGAGGGTCTCGAGATAGTCGCCGAGCACGCGGTTCATGACAAACCCTTCCAGCGGCGGCACCACAATGTATGCATCGTCCTCAATCGGCACGTCAAGATAGAACAGCTGCTTCTGGAACAGCCCTGCGCGTGCGTGATGGTCCGCATTTTGGTGCGTGTGTGTGTGTGAGACCGTGTGTGCACGAGATAACATGTGTGTGTGTGCTCGTGTAGTTGGCAAGGTTACGCGTGCGTATGTGTTGTTCTCCACTTGCATGAGTGCACATTGCCGCAAGTGAGGGCTCGAGAACAACATAAACACACAGAGCGCCCCCTGCACTGCAGCAAGAAGACAAACGTACGAATGACAATGTCCCTATCCAGGGATCCGACTTGTGTGAGTCCACGGTTGATGACGCGGTCCAATGTCGCCTTTTCTGCCGGCGATAGCTCCTGTACACATGCGCACACATGCACACACATGCGCACGCACACGTGTATATGCACACATTGCACGATCCACTCGTCAGAAGAGCGCATCAACGCTTGTCGTTACAGGATGGCAGCCCCCCCCCCACACACACACAATATAACCATAAGCATCGCGCACATGCACACACACACACACACACACACACACACACACACACGCACGCATCACACACCCGCACTGCGGCCTCGAGGACGTGGCCAACACCGACGCGCCACCAGTACTCCATCTTCTCTGGCGGGAGCTGACACGGTGGAGGGGGGGGGGCACAGCGGCAAATTGAAGAGTGTGTAACAGCATGATAAGCGGGTGGGAGCGCGTTGGCTGAGCTGGCAAAAATGACTTGATTACATGCCATTGCAGGTGCTCAAGCACCAAAACGAAGGAAAGGAGGGGCCACCGAATGGAATAAAAAACGAGTGCACATGCGCGCACACACGCACGCACACACACACGCACACACACACACACACACACACACACACACACACACACACACTCACACACCCACACCGCGCACAATACACTCAAACACACACACACACAGAACACACACACACACATATGCACGCGCCCCCTGAAGTTTTTTTGTAAAAACAGTTTTTTGGGATATAAGCCCTTGCAAAAAACCCCCTCTTTGTTGTGAATATGGGGGAGCGTAAGTGGTGGAAAAAAAAACATGTTGTGAGAATATAACAACCCCCCCCGGGACAAGCGTCTTTTTTTTTTTGGGGGAGA